TAAGGAAACCTGGGAAGGTTTTTGTGATACAAACCCTAGTTTTCGGGTCCCACTGGGCGTGTCACTTGACGATGCTCGGTTACGCGCCGCCGGTCTAACGGTGGAACTCCGGCTAGGGTTCTCTGCAAAATAGGGCCTCGAGGTCTCCCGAGGGTAGACACTCCGATGCTTAAGTCAGTAAACGGCTGCGGGAAGGCTTAGATATGTAGTATGTTAAGCTGTAGATCACGTACCTCTATTGTAGTGTGAGCAATCCTATTTATAGGTCTGAGAGTACCTGGACCATCCCTGAATCCTATTAGGTTTCGGGAACCTAAACCGCCTCGAGAATCCCAGTTGGACTCTCTCTCCGGTTGATGGGTTGGTCCAGTCTCGGCGATGGATATGGACTCGCCACTCCTATTAAAATAACTGTCCAAGAGAAGATTTTTGATGAGGTGTCGCACTCTTGTGCATTGTTTTCCCGCTGAAAACATAACACCATTTCTGGAAAAAGAAAAAAAAAAAAAGAAAAGCCCCTCTTAAACTAATGAGAAATCTAGCATTAATTCTTTCTAATTTCACGAAATTAATGTTTCTACCTTGCTTATTCATAAATACACACGTTAATTTCATCCCTTAAAATTAAATGTCTGACTGCTGCATATATTGTAATATGCATACATAATCCCGCCTAAAATCTACCATTTTGTCTTAAAAGAAAATTCAATTTTGTCTTAAGATCTAATGCCAATCTCATTTAAAAATATTAAAACTTCACGACAAAAATCACGAGAAAAAAAACCACATAAGACATTTTTCTTATATTTAAATTCAATCAGTCTAATGTCAATTTCATTAAAAAGTAGTTGAAATCTCACGGGTAAAATTATTTAAAAAATTATGTGAAACATTTTTTTTATATTCAAATTCAAGAAAATTTAAATTATAATAGTTTAAATATCACTTAATTTTCACCATGTTTTTAAAACTCACTTTTGACTGTTGGCTCATTCTTTTGTATTACATGCTTTTTTTAGATTCTATTTCTCAATGAACCATTAATCGAGTACGTGACATATTTTTTTATAATTAATAATTATATTAGTGTACATTTTAACATGTTCTGTGCAACCCACGAAGAGATCCTAGTTTAAAAGATAAATTAGGCGACGAGGTTAATTCCTAACAACCACCTATTACATACATGGTTAGGTTCTTTGACTTCATGGTCACACACAACACACCAACGAATATCTATTTTGTTTTAGAGTTGAACTGGCGTTCTCTCGTGCTGTTTTTTTGCTTTTATTGCTTTCTTTAGTCATATCAAAGAAACCTTGAAACAGAACCAACGAAAAAAGTTTATTTAACTTGTAGTTTTCAGTTTGCCAATATATATCTACCTACGTCATGTGATTGAAAAATTCAAAATCGTGCTTTGCCAATATATATGACCATTGTTGTGTTTTGCTCTGGGAAGTCATCTTTCGCCGACTGTTGGTTTGTTTACTTTTGAAGTTTTCCTTTGGCCAATAATAATTTTTTAAAAATTAATTTGCTCAAACAAATGTATATACAAAGTTTAATCGTCACAACTTGAGGTACTTGTCATCAGTTGGTTTGGTTAATCTTAAAAAATTCAGAAATGTCCCCAATCAATCTAAATTTTAACCAGTAATATAAGGTAACACCAAAAAGATGATTTCCCAACCACCTTAACTGGGTGTTAGACCCGTCTGATGGACGGGGAGAACATGTACATATAGACATTAGAACACAAGCAAAGTAATAAAAATATCACTATTCTATGGATTTTATACTTTTATGAACTGTTAATTATAAATTATATAATTACTTCATTGAAAAATATAAAACACAACATCAACAACACTTTACAAAATGGTAATAATTTATTTAATGCAAAGAAAATTATTAAAAAAATCTAAAAAAAGGGAATATAAAAAAGAAAAAATAATTAACTTTGAATTGAATAATTATATGTCCTACAATACTTCTCTGTGAACGAAATTCATAGTCTTAAATTGACGTTACCACATTGATCGCGTATTAGATTCTTGATTCCTTGTCTCGAAGTGACTATTGATAAGACGACATATAATTGGTTATGGTTAAAAACTGGACGTGGCAAATAAAATGATTTGTTAATTTAAAGGTGTTAATCGGACGACCAAATAAACTTAAATGGAAATGATAAAATAGAGATTTAATGGATGAAAATTTCTACCAAATACAATATAAATCATAATATAGAGAAAATGAAATTATTCATTATTAGATGAATTTTCTATAAAAACAAATGCTAGTTATAAATGTATAGTAACTTTTTTATAATGGCTTCATTCATAAAGAAAATATAAAATAGATAAACAAAAACATATGTGATATGGATATTTTCAGCATAATGTGGAATGTGGAGAAAAGAAAAAAAAAAGCATTCAACGTCGAATTGAATAATTATATATCTTGCAATAATTTAAATCAAAATCATTAAATTTATTTTTAATGACATTCTATGGTAGAATCATTTTTTTCGTTGATTCTAAGGTAGGATCATTTTTTTTTACCACATTAATAATATCACTAAAGTTATTTGCATATTTAAATTTGATCTCTCTCAACTTATTTTTAATAATATCCCACAATTACTTTATAGTGGGTACCTATTTTTTTTTTCTAAATGATATTGCAAATTTACCCTAGGCATTTTTAAATCTAAAAAATTAAGAAAATGTCACATAGGATTAAATCCTATGTGGCATGTGCTCCATGCCTTTAGATTTCTTTCTCTGGTTTTTGCCTTAGTATAATATATAGAATAGATGTGCTTGTTGAGCTGGTATTAGAGTATTTCTTCTGTCTCAAAAGTCCACTTTCTTGAACTAAAATAATACAGTGTGAGTAATTTTTTGTTATTTTTTTTGGGACGGAGAGTGTTACATAATCAGTGGGAGGAAGACAGAATGGCAAGTGAAGTCTCTCTTACTGCAAATCATTTTGGTTAAATATTGGTGTAGTGAGTGCCTTTTTGTTCACACTTTTCATCAAATTTGTTCCCTTTTGATCATCATCTTCTTCCCTTTGATCCAGTACTCTGTACTCTCTTCTGGGTTCTCCAACTTAACCTTTCTTCTTGAACTCTCAACAGATTGTTCATTTGTTTGCTTTCTCTTTGACGATGCACGGATATGCGCCGCCGGCTTAACGGTGGAACTCCGGTTAGGGTTTCCTGTGAAACAGAGCCTCAAGGTCTCCTGAGGGTAGACACTCCGATGCTTAAGTCAGTAAACGAGATTGCTAGAAAGTTTAGGGAGGTAGTATGTTTGGCTTATAGATTGCGTACCTGAATTGTGGTATGAGCTACCCTATTTATAGGTATGAGATTACCTGGACAATTCCGAATCCAACTAGGTTTTAGGGATTTACACCGCCCTAAGAGTTCCAGTTGGACTCTTCCTACGGTGGGTGGGCCGGTACAATCTCGGTAATGGATCTGGACTCGTCAAGTGCCCCTGCCAAGTGTTAGTGACGTAGAACAAAACAGCGCTTGGCACAAAATAAGCATTACCTGAGACATGCCCGAGAGTGGACAGACCGCCCTCATTCAGCTAATTGTCGAGGCACATGCCTAACGAGCTCGGTGCTAACACACGACCCTCGATCTCGGAAGTGCGAGAGGAACCAGCGGGTCAAGTCGTGACCCGGGAAGACGACCCGCTTCCCAATCCCGCTCAAATTTTCAATTATGCGTTATTAGTGAGCACGTTCCCCAAACAGCAGCCTCAACATCATTACTTCCTTGAAACCCGCAATAACTGTCAAATCGTGGTCCATAATTAGGCAAACGTGGGAGAATCAACTTTGCTTTTAAAAGAGAAAACTTCCACTGTCCCTGGACACTTAATCACTTTCTTTCTCTACAAAAACACAAAATCCTCTCCTTTGCAAAAAGTACTCTAGCCTCCATTCCGTTATGCTTTTCCAAAGCACCCTTGAAAATTCCAGCCAGAATTTCCAAGATTTTACCTGCCCCGGCAACGGCGTTTCCAGGGGAGTTGCAATTTGAAGCTTCTAGACAACACTGGGGAGCTAAAATTCGAAGGGCGAGTGGTCACGTCCCCCTCACATAGTAAGTTTCTGGATCTGAATCTCCGACTTGTTCCGTTTCCCTTCCTGTTGTAGCCAGAGTAGATCTTTGCCGGAATTATGGTTAGGGATTCTGAAGAAAAAACTGTTCTAGACTTTGTTTCCACCATAGACTCGGTGGATAAGGTAGAAAACCTTAGATCCAAGTATGACTTCCCCTCCGCCTTAGAGGCGAGAGCTCCGTTAGGGAACGAGAGGGCCAACTCTCACCCAAGAGGAAGAATTACCGTGTATGATTGATTTATGCATCTAGAGCTTAGATTTCCCCTTTACCCCTTGTTTGAGGAGATTGTTCAACATTATAGGACTCCTCTCACCCGTTTTACCCCAAATTTAATTACATTTGTACTGGGGTTTGCGAGAGTGTGTCAATATGTAAAAGTAGTACCTCGATTGATATTGTGGAGGTGCTTTTTCCAAGTAGTTGTGGCCTCGACTTCTTTACAGGATTGGTATATAGTAAACAGACGCCTTAGAGCCGGCGTGAAGAAGATGGTCGAGGCATATGGCGGTTCTCCAGAATGGAAACCGGACTTTGTGTTTGTAAAGGCGCCTGCAAGTTATTGTCTGCCATGGAATCTCCGTGAGACAGAGGGCCTCGGGCCATAAAAGATGAATGGACCCAAGAGGACGAAGAGTGTGTCAAGGAGTTCCAGGCAGATGTAGAGAAGATTTTAAAATACTCGAAGGTCGTTAAGTGGAACGACGTCCAATACTATGCGCCCCCTGCATACGCGAAAGGAAGGTGATACAGTCATTGTTGATGGAACAACCAGAATTCCCCTCGAAATCTCTGATGAAAAAGATCAAGGTACTAATCGTTTTCTTCTTTTTTTTTTCTTTGTTGTTAGGTCATGTCGTCAAGCAATACTGGGTCTCGATTGTTTGGTGACGAAGATCCTTTTGTCATTGTAAATTCAGATGAGGATGTTACTGTTACTGCCATCCCTCAGAAGAAGAAAAAGAAAAGGATTGTGAAAGTGGGTGATAGGGCAAAATCTAAGAAGGCCAAGACAGATGTGCCCCTGAAGGAAACTGCTCCACTGAGCGTCAAGACGGTGCCCGTTGCTACCGAGTCCATGCAGAAAACTGCGCCAGAGATAGGGCCAAGCAGAGTTTTGCCTGTGGTAGAGAAAGGAAAGGGCCCTCTCGAGGGGGAGGCCATAGTCTTGCCTCCCCAACTATTCGAGGGAGGCCCATCTGTGGCAGTTCACACCTTCAGCAACCCGCCGTCAATCGAGTGTCCTATTCTCGAGGAATTTGCCGCCCAACTGAATGAAGCTGACAGCTTGCGGCTGGTAAGCAATTTTTTAGATTATGTTGTAAATGTGTTGCTGAGGTCCATGTGTCTCTAATATGTTATGTTGGTTCAGATGAGCGCAGCCTCGATGGCCTAGTTAGTGCAGCTGAGGAAACTTCGAGAAGACCTGGCTGCAGCAAGGGCAGAAAGAGACGAGGCGTTGTTCTAGGTGGTTACCCTCGAGGAAAAGGTTTGCCAAGTTCAGGCCAAGGAAGCAGAGATTGTCGAGATGCAGGACAAATATGATGAGCTCAACGAGAAGATGAAGTCGTTTGCCAGCCTGCATATTTCCAAGGAGGAGCTTCACCAGTGGTGTACCGCCTTTATGTATAAGATGATGTCCACAGGCGAAATGACTGCAGCCCTCGAGGAGGTGAACTTGGTTGCCACCAAGTGCAGTGTGCACCGAGTGGGCGTGGCAGGGTTAAGGAGGCTCGACCAGGATAGGCCAATTAAGGCCAAATGGTTCAAGCAACTCTTGATGATGGACCCAAAGAAAACCATGCACGAGGCCATGGTGAAGGTCTTGACAAGGTTGAGCCTCGAGCAGCTTCCTCTGTGGGGAGCTTTGACCGGTGGCATGTCCAAGATGAGTTCCCCTGCGGAGGTTGCCTCGTTTCCGGGTGACGTTCCTGCTATCCTGGCCAAGGGTCCGAGTGAGGAAGACCCCATACCCGAGGTACCTGACGAGTATATGGGTATCGAGCTCGAGGATGCTGATGAGGAAACCGAGGAGGATGTTGCTGACATCGGCCACTCTAGGGTTCAAAGAACTGTTGAGGACGCCTCTCAGGCCCCTTCCAAGGACCCGTCCAATGATCCTTCCACTGATCCCCTCCCAGGCAGTGACGCTGTATGAATCCTGCCTTCTGTAATAGTTATTAGGCCATTCAAACTTTTTCTTTTTGCTGTAATGAACTAATTTTCTTTTTTCACAGATTTATGCAAACATCTCTTTCCATTCCACTTCTTTGTCCTCTGTGTTCTTTCTATTTGTTTTGATGTGAGTGCCTTATGCTCCTCTGGTGAAATAGGAAAGTTGGACCGTTCACCGCGTGCACCACATGGTGTTGTCAGAGGAGCAATCGAAGGAGTTCCCGTTATATTCCATGATAAGCGGGATTCTGAGAAGTCGTGCTGACGTGCACAGCCTCGAGATGGTGGCACATTTGGAGAATGACCTTCTCGATGCCATGAGGACGCACAACGTGAAGGTTAACCAGCATTTGATAAATGAGATCAAAGGACTCCGCGAGGAGATGCAGCATCAAGAGGTTCAAAGCCTGAGAGACCACAGTGATTCTTTGACTTTCGAGGCTGAGATCCATGACGAGCTGGTGACCATTGAGAAGTAAAATGCTCGGCTTAGGCCAAGACAGCAGATTACTGTGTCTCCCTGGTTTCTCGAGAAGCATCAGGTGTTAGCTCGAGTCCAGCACATGATTATGGTCAGGACTCGCCGTTTCATCGCAGCCATGGATATATTGAAAGAGAGGTCTCGTGAAATCGAGTTTCTTACAGATTATATTGCTCAACTGCAAAATCTTCTGCTGGATAACAACATCGACTTCGAGGCTTTCGAGCGTCCGGAGGAAACAGTGGATCCTCGAACTCGGAGTTCTCAAGAGGAACTATTGATGAGGGTGCACGCTTAGGACACAGAGATCGTGGACCTTAAGGACAAATTGAATCAGTGTGTGAATCTCCTTAGCCTGCACGGGTATAAGGGGATTATTCATCCCTCGCCCGACAATCCTGTCAGGGAGGTGCTTGTAATAGTGTAGAAAGTATGTACTTTTTTGTGAGTTCGCACAGCAATGTGGAACGAATGTTTATTTTACTCGAGTATTGATTTTTAAAGCACTTTTTAGGCCGGATGTAGAGTACACGGCTTTATCATAGGAATTGGGTACGAATTCCTTGACTTGACACTGCGTTTCGCAATGTGCGTTAGGAAAGTTCCTCAAGTTCGTGTCCGGATGTTGAGTACACGGCTCTTGAACGAGGATGGCCCTAAAGAGGGAGTCTATCTCGATGACTAGTCATGAATGCATTGCTATAAACGGGGAGAATATGTAATGTCTTTTATTGAATAATTTCCCGAGAACCCGGGTTAGCATTACATATGAGAGTATAAAACTGACTGCGTAAATAAAGTAAGTAAAACACATAAAGGGCAAATAGCGGACAAAGGCTTAAACATAGAACCTGCGAAGATTTTGAATGTTCCACCATCGAGGAAGGATGGTTCCGCTATCATCCATGGCTTGTAGGCAGTAGCAGCCTGCTAGGGAAGTCTGGATAACCTTGTAAGGCCCTTCCCAATTTGCAGTAAGTTTTCCAGGGGCTTCTGCTCGACTGGCCTCATTTTTTCTTAGCAGGAGGTCACCCACAGCGAGATCCGTGGCTTTCACCTTCTTGTTGTAATGTCTGCGAAGAGTCTCTTTATATTTGGCCTCTCGGATTTTGACGGCGTCTCGACGTTCCTCGAGCAGGTCAAGGTTTAGTCGGATGTCATCATCATTGGTACTCTCGACGAAGTTTGCGGTTTGAGGACTCGACAGACCGATCTCGACTGGGAGGGCGGCGTCCATACCGTAGACTAAGCTGTACGGCGTCTCGTCGGTCGAGGAGTGGGCAGTTGTCCGGTATGACCACAGGACGTGAGGAAGTTCGTCGGCCCATGCCCCCTTGGCGTCATACAACCTGGTCTTGATTCCATGCAGTATTGTTCTGTTGATGGATTCAGCCTGCCCGTTGGCCTGGGGATGGGCTACGCTCGAGAAGTAGCGTTCGATCTGCATTTCATCGCACCATGACATGAAAGTATTACTCTCAAACTGGGTCCCATTATCGGAGACGATAACCTTCGGGACCCCAAAGCGGCATACTATGTTCTGCCAGAAAAAATCCAAGATTTTTCTCCCTGTGATCGAGGCCAAGGGTTTAGCTTCTACCCATTTAGTGAAGTAATCTACTGCTATAATGACCCATCTTACTCCTCCTACTCCTTCCGGATGAAAGGGGCCGATGATATCAGTGGCCCATTGGTAGAATGGCCACGGGCTTTGGATGGTGACTATCTCGTGTTGTGGCTGTCGAGTGATGGGAGAAAAGCGCTGACAGTTCTCACATTTTTGTACCCATTGGTAGGTGTCTTTGAAGATTGTCGGCCAGAAATATCCTGCTCGCAAGACCTTTTTGGCGAGTGCTCTTGCTCCCATATGAGTTCCACATGATCCTTCGTGTACTTCTTCGAGTACGTAAGCTGCTTGCTGTGGGCCAATACACCTTAGCATGGGTAGCATGTATCTATGCTTGTATAGGATGCCGTCTCGCAATGTGTATTTGACCGCTTTAAACCGGAGGATCCTGGCTTCTGCTTTTCCACTCGGCAATATCCCATCTGTAAGGTATTGGATAAAAGGGGTCATCCAAGTGTCGCCGTCCTCGACGATGGTCGCTACGGGGACGTCCTGGATACTGGGACTCGGGAGAATTTCGACCCATACTTTGTGGCTAAGGTGTGCAAAGTTCGAGGAGGCCAGCTTGCTGAGGGCGTCGGCTCTTTTGTTTTTTGAGCGGACTATGTGGCACACGGTGCATTCCTCGAATTTGTCCTTGATGTCGAGGACTTTCTCGAGGTAGCTAATGAGTTGCTCGTCGTTTGCCGTGTATTCTCCCAATATTTGTTTTACCATTACTTGAGAATCACTGAAAACTTGTATTTTGTGGACCCCAAGTTTTAGTGCCATGTTCAACCCTACTATCAGTGCCTCGTATTCTGCTACATTGTTGGTGACCGAGAAACCGAACCTCAGCGCATATGTATATTCTGCGTCGTACTCTTTCATGTTCTTGATATCGGGGTCGACCGGAGGTTTGGATAATATGATGCCGGCTCCTCCCCCTTCATCGCAACGAGATCCGTCGACGAGTAGTGACCAGGCTCGAGGGTTGATGTGGACGCGAGTAGTGGGATCATCTTTAGGCTCCGCCATTTCTTTGACTTCGATAGCTCGAGGCGTTTCTACTAAGAAATCTGCAAAGGCTTGCCCTTTGATGGCTGATCGAGGCTTGTATTCGATATGGTGCTCGCCCACTTCGACTGCCCATTTCATCATCCTGCCGGACGTTTCTGGCTTTAGCAGGACTTGCTGAATTGGTTGTTCCGTTAAAACCATAATGGGGTGTGCTGGAAGTATGGGCGTAGACGTCGTGCAGCCAAGACTAGGCTGAGGATAAGCCTTTCCATGGGTGTGTAATGGGTTTGTGCCCCTTGCAAGACTTTGCTAACAAAATAGACCGGGACTTCTTTGCCGTCTTTGCACTGCACAAGGACCGCCGAGACAGCTTTCTCTCGTGCTGCCAGGTAAATGTACAGTGTTTCTCCTGGCTCGGGCTTGGCTAGTGTGGGCAACTGCTTGAGGTGCTCTTTTAGGTCTTGGAAGGCTTTCTGGCATTCTTCATTCCACTCGAATTTTCTGCCTTTGCGGAGGGTATGGAAGAATGGGAGACTTCTTTCTGCGGCTCGAGATAGAAACCTGTTTAGGGCCGCCAGGGAGCCTATGAGTTTCTGAACTTCCTTGATGGTTTTTGGAGCTTCCATGGCTAACATAGCCTCGATTTTAGCCGGATCAACACTTATTCCAGCCTTGGAGACTTGGTATCCTAGGAATTTCCTTGATCCTACACAGAAGGTGCATTTTTTAGGGTTCAGCTTCATGTTAACCTTGCGTAATATTGTGAAAATCTCCCGCATGTCTGTGACCACTTGCTCATCCTTATTGGTCTTTATCACCATGTCCTCTACGTAAATCTCGATGTTCCAGCCGATCTGGTCATGGAAGGTTCTGTTCACGAGACGCTGGTATGTGGCTCCAGCATTTTTCAGTCCAAAGGGCATCTTGTCGTAGTAATATACCCCTATCTCGATGATGTAAGCTGTCTTTTCTGCATCTTCCTGTGCCATGAGGATTTGATGATATCCCTTGTAGGCGTCAAGGAAGCTGAGGACTCTGTACCCGGCAATACCCTCCACCATTTAATCTATGACTGGTAGAGGGTAGCAGTCTTTGGGGCAATGTTTATTGAGGTCTGTGTAGTCTTGGCACATACGCCAGGAGTTGTTGGGTTTTCGTACTAAGACCGGATTGGCTAACCAAGTAGGCCATAAAACTTCCCGGAGTATGTTAGCTCGGACTAGCTTCATCGTTTCCTTGTTGATGACATCGTTACGTTCTCAAGAAAATACTCTTTTCTTCTGTTGTACTGGTTTGACATTTGGATCAACATTTAACCTATGTTCTATGACTTCTCGAGGGACTCCTGTCATGTCCGCTGGGGACCAGGCGAATATGTCCTGGAACTCTTGTAGCAAGGCGCTAATCTCGGCTAGCAAGGGGTCTTGGAGAGAAACCCCAATTTGGACGGTCTTGGCGGGATCAGACTCATTCAGGACTAATTCTCGCGTCTTGCTACTGAACGAGGGAAGGCCGGGTGTCTCGGGGTCTTCTAACCCTGGTGGGTTGACCGTTTGTTGAATCGAGTAGCACTCTGACACGGCGGACCCTGGGTTAAGGTATGCGGTCTTCTTTTCGGTTCTAACTGCAGTGAGCATGCATTTTTGAGAACTCCGCTGGCATCCTTTCACTACTCCTACTCCATATTCCGTTGGGAATTTCATTACCAAGTGATAGGGAGACCATACCGCGCGTGCTTGGCACATCCAAGGTCGCCCTAGGATCACATTGAACGGCGAGGGTGCATCTATTAGGGCGAAATCCATGGTCAAAGTGACTGTCCTAGGATGCGACCCTACCGAGATGGGTAGGCTAGTTATTCCTGTGGGGATAATGGTGTGTCCTGAGAATCCCATTAGTGGCATTGTACCTAGGCAGATGCAAGGGTTTTTGATATTCATTTTCTTGAGGCAATCACTATATATGATATCGACCGCGCTGCCGTTGTCCACGTAAACCCTCCCGACTTTTACATTTGCGATTATTGCTTCTATGACCATAGCATCACTGTGGGGACAAATGTCTGGGACCACATTGCTATCTATGAATACAATGGCCTATGTTCCTTTGAATCTCTTGTGGCTAGGTTATTGTCGAGGGGTTTTGGTGACAGTTCGCAATGAGCTTTTCATGGCTGTCATGGATAAGACTTTGAGGGGAGCTCCGTAAATAGCTCCTACCTGGTGAGTGATTAGCTTTGTTGGATCTGTCGAGGGGAGTTGTTGCAATGGCTTTGGCGTTGCTTCATAGATGGGATAATGCTGCTGTTGTTGGGCATTGACTCTCGGTTGCCAATTTTTTCCTCGTCCATCCCGCCGCGGCGGGCCTCTGAAATTTCTTTTTGGGTGATCTCGTGATTGGGGTCTGTTATTCTTCTGCCGGGAAGCTGTTCCCTGCACATATTGCTGAAACTTCCCAGATTTGACCCCGTTCTTGATTTCACGCTTGAGCTCTCGACAATCCTCCGTGTCGTGGCCGTGATCTTTGTGATATTCACAGTATTGTTCGGTTGATCTGTTTGGATTAGGGGCCAAGGGTTTCGGAGCTGGCAATTCGTCCCTATGGATCTGGAGGATTTCTCGTCGGAGCTTGGTTAAGGGCGTTAATTGTCTATCCATCTTGGGCAGTGCCGGTCTGCCTTCCTGGGGGATTCTTGGCTTTTCTTTGGGGCCTACCGAGGCGAATGATTCTTGGGACCTCTTGAGTGTGTGTTCTTGCTGTATATGGTTCTCGACAATAGCCCACATCTCCTTCGCATTCCTAGGGGGTTTTGTCGAGAGCTTAACTCGTAACATTGAGGATTTCCCGAAGGGGTTAAGGCCTTGGATGAATCCATTGCGGACGTCTCGATCGTTGATGTTGTCGACTTGCAAGGTCTCTTGTATGAATCGTCTGTGAAAGTCAGTTAGACTCTCATGCTGTCCTTGTCTGATCGAGGAGAGATTGATGGACATCCGCGATATCCGTTTGCTTTTGAAGAATCGAGTAGCTAGTTTAACGGACAAATCTTCAAAGCTAGTGACGCTTCCTTCCGGTAATTGCCCAAACCATCGCTGCACTGACTCGGATAAGTAGGAAGGTAGCGCTTTTGCCATGAAGTTCATGGTTGCGTTTCGGATTCTCATGACTTGGACATATCCTTGCAACCATTGGGAGACATCGGTATCTCTCGAATATGGCTTGAATTCTTTAGGGAAGTCGAAGTCTCGGGGCTTAGGTTCATCTCGAATGCTGGGGATGAAGGGGCTCCGGTCTAGCCCTATCCCGATGATTTTCCTCATTTCTTCTCGGATCAATATATTCTGGTCTCTTGTTCCTTGCTGATCTCCCTGGTAGTACGGAGGATTTTTCCTATGCCAGTTATATTGTTGCTGTCTTGGAGGTGAGTATCGAGGACGGTGATTGTATTCTTGGTCATAGTTGCCCTCGATGTTGTTGCGGCCTCGATGTAGTTCGTAATCGTGCCTATACTCACCTCTTCGAGGGCTCCTTCGATTCCAATTGAACTCTAAGCGATTATGTGCCTTGGTTCTCCTAGGGGGCTTCCCCTATTCTCCTTCGAGGATCTCGACGCTCGGTGGGTCGGGATTCTCTTGGCACCCCTCTGTTGGTATATCGCGTCGAATTCCTCGAGAGCGGTGTCGAAGGCTGGGTATCTTTCTCTGAAAGCGTTCCAGAATATGGTATCTCTGGTAGCATACGAGCATTCTTCATGGGGGCTTCCGTAGCCCTCGGTTTCTTGGTACTTCTCCTGCTCTTGGACTTTCTGCTTGCCTTGTTTCTTCTCAAAAAGGGCTAGGGTTCTGCGAGCTTCTTTTTCGTCGACCAAATCTTCCAACTCTTGTTCTGTAGGATCGGGTTGTCCAAGGAGACAACGGCATCCTTTATTGTTGATCGCTATCATCGCCTAGTTTCTTAAGTTCGGCCTCAATTTTGGCCAGTTTATGGTCTTCCAAACGCTTGGCAGCAGCGGGGGTATTTCGAGGAGGAGGTATATCCTCTTTTTCAGGTGGAAGATTGGTGTTGTTTTGTTTCTTTGGATCGGGCTGAGAAGCACCGAGAACCAAATGCTCATTTGTTTGTTCTTTCCCAGGTTCTCCGCCGTGGCTTTTTCCTGTCTTTCTTTTTTCTTGCCGGCGTTGGAATTCGGCCAGGGGAGTATCGTCTCCTAGACTATGCTGTTGGCCGGAGGAGGCCGTGCTACCGGCGCCTTCTTCAACTCTGACCATCGTGTCGGTTGTTCTGGCAACCCCGATTGTTATGAAAAGATGTTAAGGAAACCTAAGGAGGTTTCTGTGACACAAACCCTAATTTACGGGTTCCACCGGGCGTGCCACTTGACTATTCACGGATATGCGCCGCTGGTTTAACGGTGGAACTCCGATTAGGGTTTCCTGCAAAACAGAGCTTCGGGGTCTCCCGAGGGTAGACACTCCGATGCTTAAGTCAGTAAACGGGATTGCTAGAAAGTTTAGGGAGGTAGTATGTTTGACTTATAGATTGCGTACCTGAATTGTGGTATGAGTTACCCTATTTATAGGTATGAGATTACCTGGACAATTCCGAATCTAACTAGGTTTTAGGGATTTACACCGTCCTAAGAGTTCCAGTTGGACTCTTCCTACGGTGGGTGGGCCGGTACAATCTCGGTAATGGATCTGGACTCGTCACTCTTCCAAAACAAACTGATGTAATTCTTATTCCTTTGGTACTTCTCATCCCAAACAAGATGGCCTCCACCTTCACTGATTGTATTCTTTCTGCCTTACATGAGGTTGGTCGCGTTCTGGACGAGACCCATCCTTCTGAATATATGCTTGTACATTATTTCAAGCTACTGAGATATAGGCTTGGAAACCTCAAAATGGTTGTCCTTTCTGCCACAAAGCGTGGCATTAACTTAAGTCCGTCATCTTTGCTAGAAACTGAAGATCTTGTCCGTAAAATTGCAGAATATGTTCCCTTTTTTGATCCGTTTGAGGACTATTCGACTGCCCTTTATTGGGCATTCGAAGACCTTTCATCTCTTCGAAAACTGATGGAAGAATTGTCTGCACCCCTCTTGGATGCCCTGAGTCAATCAAGTTCTCTCCCAATAGATGAAGTCTTGGAATTCATTAGCTTCTCTCTGGAGAATCTGGAAAATTTTCAGGACTTGAGAGTCTTTTGTATCCCTAGTGCTCTACTTGATGCAGTTAAAGCCTTGGGAGAGCAGGTGAAATTCTTGAAAAGTCTAATCCTCATTGTAATACAGAGAAATATTGAACCTGGGAAGGATTTGTTGGCTCATTCTGGAGCTGTTGCTGTTGATGCTGCATTTCTCCTCTTTGATGATGGAATTTCCAGGCAAAGAGAGGGAAGAATCGGGTTACATGAAAATTTTGTAGAAGAACAGAAGTTGGAGATTTCAACGTTGATGCAAATGATCAAACCTATTCATCCTCAAGTTTACAAGACTTACACTGAAGCACTGAGTAGATCAAAGTTGGCACCAGAAAATGAAGCTCTTATTGCAACACAGAATCTTCTTTCTTCTCTCATATCTATTCTCCGCGAGGAGCTTGCAAGGACTACCCATGTTCTGGTTCCTATCAACAAGGATCAGCTGCAAGAGCTCTATGAAGGACTTGTGTCTTTGAGAAAAACGATTCTCAAGCAACAGCCAAACAAACTTGATCTGAAAATCAAGGAAGACATTGTCACTGTTGTCTGTGATGCAGGAGTTTTCATCTGCTCATTTCAACACGCGCATAAGGAAACGGAGCTTAGTATTGTTCATGAACTGACAGAAGCAATCAAGATTATTCAATCAAATCTTCGAGAAGAAGATGCAATAGCTCCAACAACGTTCAAGTCTCAAAGCACTACTCATTTGGCTTTTGTAGACTTTTTATTGGAAAAATTGATGGAGTTGACAAGCAACAATGATGAGCCAACTGCTAAGAATCTTGCTCCAACCATCCAAGAAGAACTTGTCTTCTTTAGATCTTTCTTGGAGGAAACTGTGGAGTTGCCAAACGATCATCAGGAGCAACTCCAAGCTCTCAGGGGTCGTGTTTTGGAGGCGACATACAGGATAGAGGAACTCATAGAGTACCTATTGGTTGGTAATCTCCCAGATTCTGCTTCAGAACCAATTTTTTGTACCATGAAAGACATCAGCAACATTAAGACCGAAATCAAAGCTATGAAGAGACCAGAAATCAATGTTCTAAGAGTAACGGCGATGCACAGTCACTTGGGATCAACTACCCCATCAGTGACAAAAGAAATTGTTGGCTTACAAGATCAAGCAAAGTCAATAATGAATCAACTCATGAGAGGATCAGAAAACTTGCGGATCGTGGCAGTTGTAGGTATGGCGGGTCTAGGTAAGACCACTTTGGCAGAAAAGGTTTACAACAATGAATCAATCTTGTACCATTTTTCTGTTAGTGCCTTCACCACTGTTGCCCAAACATTTGATAAAAAGGGAGTGCTAGCCGACATCTTAAAGCAGATTGATCCTGGCAAATATTCCCTGGTTAATTCTAAGACAAGTGCAGATGATGTAGCTGAGATGCTATGGCGGAGTTTAAGAGGAAAGCGATATCTCGTCATTCTTGATGATATATGGGAAGTTGAAGACTGGCAACAGTTGCGAGAATCATTCCCTAATGATTCCAAGGGGAGCAGAATTATTTTTACAAGTCGCCGTCATGATGTGGCTCCTCCAGATATGCTCTATGAAGGAAAACCTTTTGAGCTGAGACTACTCAATGCAGAAGAGAGCGTGGATTTATTGCAGAGCCGATTATACAGTAAAATGATTGGCCTGCTGAATTAGATGACCTTCGGATGCAAATTGTTGAAATGTGCAATGGATAGCCTCTAACAATCATCCTTGTATCAGGAATTTTAAGATCCACGGAGCCAAAGGATTGGAAGACAATCATAGATAGTTTAAACCGTGGTAGTTCGCAGAACGTTGTAGAGATACACTAGATCTCAGTTACAAACAGCTACCTGAGCATTTAAAGCCATGCCTTTTGTATTTTGCAACGTTTCAAGAAGATGAACAGGTCTCGGTCAATAGGCTGCTTTCGTTATGGATGGCCGAAGGGTTCATCCGGAAAGTCGAGATGAAGCGCCTGTCAGATGTTGCTGAAGAATATCTGAATGATTTGGTAGGAAGAAGTTTACTTATGGTTTCCAAACAAACATCCAGGGGCAGAGTAAAGCGTTGCCGCAGTCATGACTTGCTTCATGAATTTTGTTTGCAGAAAGCGAAAGACGAACAGTTTTTACATTTCCTTGAAGGAGGGCATGATGAATTGTCAGCTTTCTGCGAGCCGCGGTATCTACGGAGGTTATACATTCACTCTGATGTAAATGACTTCATTGAGTCAAAGGTGTTTTGCCCTCATGTACGTTCTCTGAATTTCAATTACTCTAAAGACAGAGTCACGCAGAATTTCTCACTAATGATGCACATTTGCAAACACCTTAAGAGTGTTGGATTTGGAAAGAATTCAATTAGATGGTGATATTCCAAGTGAAATCGGTCAACTGGTTCGGCTAACCTACCTTGGAATACGAGGCATTGTGCGGGAGATTCCATCATCCATAGGTAACCTTTCTAATTTGGAAACTTTTGTACTAATAAATGAACGTTCATCTGATCTACTCTTACCAGACAGTTTCTGGAATCTGAGAAAACTAAAGCATTTTCGCGTATCCAGAGGCGATTCATTTACATGGGGTGTTGTATTGCCCGTGGCAAATCTTGACAACTCATCAGAGTTTTATGAGTTGGATACGATTTCTGGCGTGGACATTCCTTATGATTGGGTAGAAAGAGTCATGAAAAAGTTTCCAAATGTGCGTAAGTTGAAATTCAAGCTTAGCAGATTACAGACTCCTGTAGAAGATATATTTAAAGACTGGAGTGAGAATCCTATCCAGACTGTTGTTCTTGACATCTTGACACAACTAGAATCGCTTTGTGTCGATTCAGGTGTGGCTGGTTGTGGGGTTGAGCTTAGTTTGCCAACAAATCTGAAGCAACTGACATTGGGATCATTTTACTTGACTGAAGGGATTCTTTCAGGCATTGGTAAATTACCAAACCTCGAATATCTCAAATTAAAGGAGGTATATTTCGAAGAGGACCGTGGAGGATGGAAGAAGAGGAATTCTCCAGGCTAAGAATCTTGAAACTGGATTCCTGTGAACTTGAACAGTGGAGTGGGTGTGATGATCAATTCGGGTGCCTCGAGAAGTTGGTACTTTCTCATTGCAGGTGTTTAGAAGAGATTCCTTCTTGTTTCGAAACCATTTCGACGCTTCAAATGATCAAGGTCAGTTATTGTTCTGATACCGTGACAGAGTCGGTGAAGAAGATCAAGGAAGTACAGGCGGACTATGGAAACTCAGATTTGAAGATCATCATTATTCGGGACATTTTCGCTGGCGATCTTTATAAATCAGGAGAAGATGAAGGTGTTTGGTAAGAGACTTAACATGAAAGAGCAAGCAAGTTTCAGGATCTACTGCAGTCGTGTACTTCATTTATTCGTAGCTTTACTAATCTGTTTTCTGGAAAACATCAGCATTACTCAATGACCCTTCATTAAATCAATCAAATGATTATTCTAATGGTAGGCAATCTTTCAGATTCTGTTAATGAAATGTAGGAGGAATCAAAGTCGAAACTCCGATTGTCTCCAATAATTTTCAACAACCTGTCAATGGTTAATTACTTAAGTCATGTGCTGAACTGATAGAATATCTTTTGCTTTAGTAGAAGTGATCTCTGATGCTGTGGTTTCTGTTACCAACAGAAAAAGTATTGAAATTGAACCAACAGAAAGTCAACCTCTCTAGTTTTAAGCTTACCAATGTCTCATGATCATGTGATTGATTTAAATTCCAAATCTGAAATGCTTATTATTATACATATAAAATCCCATGTCGGGTCATTTCTAAGTACTGGTAATTAATTTTGTTATTATTATTTTTCAATTCCTATAATCCAGAGATCTGCTAATACGAACTTGCCATCCATTGTAATCTTAACGTGACAGGTATGGTGGAAAATCCAACAGCTAGCTAATCCTATGTGGTACTCGAATGTTACACTCTGTCCCGAAAATCATTCCCTTACTTGTATTTTTATTTTTAGTTTAAAATTTACTAAAATTAAAATCTAAACTAAACAATTATTTTGGAACAGAAATAATACTACAATGGAATTATGTAGCTGTAATGATCAAGCAAAGGCATTGAAGTTTTCCTTTGACCTATAATAATAATAAGATTTAATAATTAATTGTTAATCTGTTCATGTTACCAATTCATTTTTTTATAAGCTTAAAAATCAAGAAAATTGTCCACAATCAAACAAGGTATTCCTCCGGCCTAAAAATATAGTCTACACGTTAAATTAAAAATGGAATATTTTCCGGGACAGAGAAGTATGTATAATATGGGTTGGCATTCCAAGGATGACTTCCCAACCAGCTTTGCTTTGTGAGTTGGTATTGATCCAACAGTAATTGATACTAGTTCTTATAATAAGATTCATCAGCTCTTATTATTTTGAAATAATGGCCATTGAAGTCTCCTTTCTCTATCAATCAATTAGTATAAGAACGTATGTGGCAAGTCTCATTTTTTGCACACCTTTTTCTTCAACTTTGTCCCCTTCTGTTCTAACTTCTGATAATCATCTTTCACAGTTTTTTTGGTTCTCCTTCTCCATCATTATTCCTCCTTTCACCATCACCTCTTTTTCCTACACCCCAACAAGAAGATGGCTTCCACCCTTATAGATTGTATTCATTCTACTTTATATGAAGTAGATCTCCTTATATATAGGACCACTCCTCTTTTTATTGCCTCCTTATTTCGTTATAAGAAACTGAAAATTAGGCTAGGAAACCTCAAAATGGTTGTTCTTTCTGCCACGATGTTGGACTTCAACTTTAGTCCATCATATTTGGCAAAGACTGAGAAAATCTCCCCATCTTGAACGTAATGGTCAACTTGTTTTCCGGGGTTTCTTTGATCCAATAGATGAAGACATTCAATCTCTTCATACACTTACAAAGGCATTGTACACTGCCCTGCTAGACGCCCGGCATCAATCACGTCCTCTCATGACAGATAAAGTCCTAGATTTCATTAGTTTCTCCCTGGAGAGTGTAAAAAATTTTTAGGATTCGGCGAGTATCCCCAGCGCTCTACATGATGCAATTAAAGCCTTGACAGAGCAGATGACATTCTTGAAAGCTCTCATCCACTTTGTCGTACAGAGAAATACTGAACCAAACAAGGATTGGTTAGCTCATGTTGGAGCGGTTGTTATTGAGGCTGCATTTTTCCGTTTTGATGATGGATTTTGTCAGGAAAGTTCTGGAGCATTAGGGTTGGATAAAAGAGTTGCAAGAAAAAAGATTTTGGAGATTTCAACATTGATCCAAAAGATCAAGAATATTCATCCTCAGGTCTGTAAAACTTTCACTGAAGCACTGATCAGCACAAAGTTGACCACAAGATTGCTTCCTCCCGCGGATCACGGTACAGAAAGTGATGCTGAATCCCTTGTTGCAACACAGAACCTCCTGTCTTCCCTCGTATCAATTCTTTATCGGAAGCTTACACAATGCGGTCGAGTTGTGGATCCTAACAGGGATCAACTGCAAGAGTTATATGAAGGACTAAGATCTTTGAGGAAATCGGTTACCAAGCAACTACCAAACAAACTTGATCAGAAGAATATTCAGGGAGACATTGTTTCTGTGGTATGTGATGTCGCAGTATTCATTTGCTCATTCCAGCAAAGTCATGATCAGGAAGCAGGCCTAATTTGTATTGTTCAGCAGTCGTCTGAAACAATCAAGAAAATTCTGTCAAACCTTGGAGTTGCAGAGAAAGATGCACAAGTTACACTTTTCAACTCTCGCAGCACGACTCTATTGGCTTTTTTCGACTTTTTGATTGAAAAGTTGATGGAGCTGACAAGCAACAATGTTGAACTGACGGCTATCCAACAAGAACTTGATTCCTTGAGATCTTTGTTGGGGGACATTGTGGAGCAGCCAAATGATCAAGGGGAACTCCAAGATCTGAAAGGTCGTATTTTGGAGGTGGCCTACAGGGTGGAAGATCTCATCGACCACTCCTTACTGGTTGGCAGTCCCCAAATTCTCTTTCAGAATTATCTTTTTCTATCAGAAATCACATTCATGAAGAAACCAGAAATCCACGAGAAGAAATCAACGGCGAGTCAAAGCCAGCTGGTGAAATCAACTTCTCCCTCAATCTCGACAAAAGAAATTGTTGGCTTTCATGATGAGGCAACATCAATAATAAATCGCCTCAAGAGAGGATCCAAAAATTTGCGAGTACTGGCAATTGTAGGAATGGCGGGTCTAGGCAAGACCACTTTAGCAGAAAAGGTTTACAACAATGAATCAATCTCGTACCATTTTTCTGTTTGTGCCTTCACCACCGTTGCCCAAAAATTTGATAAGAATGGAGTGCTACTTGATCTCATAAAACAAGTTGATCCTGGAAAATATTCCAAGATTACTTCGGAGGCAAATGCAGATGATGTAGCCGAGCAGTTATGGCGCAGTTTGAAAGGGAAGCGATATCTCATTGTTCTGGATGATATTTGGGAAGCTAAAGCCCAGCAACACTTGCAAGCATCATTCCCTGATGATTCCAAGGGAGTAGAATCATTTTTACAAGTCGTCGTCATGATGTTGCTCCTCCAGAGATGCACGATGAAGAAAATCACTTTGAACTAAGACTTCTCAATGAAAACCAGAGCCTGGATTTGTAAAACGATATGGTAGAATATGTTTTCATATTAGGAAAATGATACAAGAGATGGTCATATATAGACTGATATAACAACGTGATCAATATGGAAAAGATTAAACCCTATCCCTATCTCTATAAAGTAGGAAGATATCTCAATACTCCCCCTCAAGTTGGAGCATGAAGATTCAGAATGCCCAACTTGGAAAGAATCAAATGGAACTGATCGCGTCCCAATGCCTTGGTGAGGAAATCAGCCAACTGAGAAGTAGAAGAAACAGAATGAGGAAGTAGGAGTTTTGACATGTGCTGACGAATGAAATGACAGTCGATCTCAATGTGTTTCGTGCATTCATGAAAAACTGGATTAGAGGCAATGTGAATGGCAGCATGATTATCACAAAAGAGGGGAATAGGACGCAATTGATGAACACAAAGTTCCTGAAGGAGATGGTTGAGCCAGACAATCTCACTAGCGGTGGTAGCCATTGCCCGATATTCGGCCTCAGCAGAGGAACGGGAGACCACAGATTGTTTCTTGGATCGCCAGGAGATGGGTGAGGACCCCAAAAATACAATATATCCAGTAGTGGACCGACGAGTGGTTGAACAACCAGCCCAATCAGCATCACAATAGGCACGCAACTTAAGAGAGTTGGCAGATGGTAGTAAAATGCCTTGTCCGGGTGTATTCTTTAAGTAATGTAGAATACGAAGAGCAGCATCATAATGCGAAACTCGTGGTTGGTGCATGAACTGGGTGAGAATATGCACAGCATAACTGATGTCCGGACGAGTAATGGTAAGGTAGAGTAAGCAACCCACGAGACGACGATAACGTCCAGGATCAGAAAAGAGATCGCCAGAATCAAGAGTAAGTTTGTGCTGATGTTCTATTGGAGTAGAACAAGGCCGACAACCAAGAAGACCACTTTCATCAAGAATATCCAAAGTGTATTTGCGCTGACTGAGGAAGATGCCAGAAGAAGATCGAGCAACTTCAATGCCAAGAAAATATTTGAGAGAGCCAAGATCCTTGATATGAAACTGACGATTAAGATGCTGTTTAAGTTGCAGAATCTTCTGGGAATCATTTCCAATCACAATAATTTCATCAACATATATGAGAACGGCCACGAAGGAGGTCGCAGTAGAAGAAAGGAATAACATGGGATCAGAAGCAGACTCCCGAAAGCCCGCTTCAAGCAGAGAATGAGTGAACTTTTGGTACCAGTTCCACGAAGCTTGTTTTAAACCATAAAGGGATTTTTGGAGACGACAAACCCGAGTCTCCCCCTTTTTAGCAAAGCCTTGAGGGATTTTCATGTAGACTTCCTCATGAAGATCGCCGTGAAGAAAGGCACTGGTGAAGGGCCCAACGACGAATAGAGGCAACAGCAAGAAGACAGCGAACAGTAACTAATTTGGCAACAGGGGCAAAGGTACCATGAAAGTCGATGCCTTCAACTTGAGTATAGCCTTTAGCGACAAGGCAGGCTTTTTAACGTTCAATACTGCCATCCGGTTTGAACTTAGTCTTGTATACCCATTTAGAATCGATGGTGCGTTTCCCAGGGGGTAGAGAAACAAGAGTCCAAGTATGATTTGCCTCTAAAGCAGAGATCTCCTGGGCCATAGCGTCACACCAATGAGAGTGTTTAATGGCCTGAGAAAATGAAGTGGGCTCATCAACAGAAGAGATGGCCGCAAGGAGAGCTGTATGATTAGCACTAAAGCGGGAATAAGATAAAGTATGAGAGAGGGGATGTACCACCGAGGAATCTGAAGGAGGGGTTGAGGATGATGATGGATTGTTAGGGAGCAATGAGGGCAGAAGATTGATGTCAAAATCAGTGAGGCGGCGAGAGAGTTGACAAGTGCGCCGTACTGGTGGAGGAGATGCAGAAGCAGCAGCGGGCAAGGACGAAGCCGGAGAAACTGAGGTAGGAAGGTCAACATCTACAAATGACTGCGGAGCATTCAAAGGTTGAGTAGGTAGAATAGGATCGGAAGCTACTTGGTGGGCAAGAAGATCATTGTCTTGAGCAGTAGAAAGATTAGAAGTATCGGGGTCTCAAGAATAGGGAAAGATGTTCTCAAAGAATTTGACATCACGGGAAGAATAAATCACCCTGCGGTCCAAATCATAGATCCCATACTTTTGACCATGAGGATAGCCAACAAAAATTCCAGGTTTATCACGAGAATCAAACTTATCTCGGGGTTTGCCCAGAACATGGGCATAACAAAGGCAACCAAAAGTGCGTAAATGTGTATACTCAGGAGATGCACCAAATAAAAGCTCATAAGGGGTCTTGTTATTGATCACAGATGGAGGCATACGGTTAATCAAATATGCAGCAGTGAGGATGCACTCACCCCGAAAAGCAATCGGGAGATGAGCCTGAAAACGAAGGGCTCGAGCCACTTCCAAAAGATGACGGTGTTTGCGTTCTACAACCCCGTTTTGCTGAGTGTGAACACAACTAGTTTGTCGTTCCATACCATAATCAAAAAAATGATTTTGCAAAGCAACATGGGTAAATTCCAAACCATTATCAGTACGAAACACCTTTATGGGAGCTTGAAATTGTGTGGAAACCCAATTGAAAAACATCAATAAATACCGTTTAGCCTCAGAGTTATGCTTCATTAAAAAAACCCAAGTAGCACGACTATAGTCATCAACAATAGTAAGGAAGAAACGTGCTCCAAAATGGGAGGGGGTATGATAAGGACCCCAAATGTCACAATGAACCAAATCAAATGTATGTAGGGTATCCAAATGCTCCAAGTAGTACAATCCATCACGTTCTCTACCCACTCCAATCAGCCTCCTCGAGCGTAAGTCCTGAATAAAACAAAAATCAGGACCAAAAGTGAAGAAGCAATTTAAATCTCGAGTGAGTTTGCTAACAGAAATGAGATTAAATCGAAATTGAGGAACCCCCAAAACATCTTTTAAGACTAAATTTTTGTCAAAATGAAAATGGCCAACTGTTGAAACCGGAACCCTGGCACCATTAGGTAATTGGACAAAAATAGGATTAGATGGTCGAGAGACATCCTGCAATAAATGAATCAAATGGGTAGTGTGGTCATTGGCGCCGGAATCGGCTGCCCAATCTGTCTTACCGGAAGAAGATGGAGTGGTGGAAGGAGGTGCAGCAACCGTGGGCGGCTGATTACCCAACATGGCAAGAAGTTGCTGAAGTTGCGATGGAGTTAGGGTTGCGGCTGCAGCTAAAGAAGATGGTGGCATGGTATCCGTGACAGAAGAAAATGCTGCAGGACCGTGACGAGATCGTTGCTGGCATTGAGGCTGTCGCCAACCGGATGGATAGCCGATTAATTCGAAGCATTGATCAACCGTATGATTAGTACGCTGACAATGCGAGCAAAGAAGTTTATTTGGTCCACTGCCACTGCGTTGATTAGTCCTATCCCGAACATCTTGTCGGCGGTGATCACGGCGAGAATCAGCCGGAGATTTGGCAAGCAAGGTGGTGGCTTCGACGACCGGAAGACGCTGATACAGAGATGCTTCTTTGTTTTTCATCACCGACAACAATAAAATAGGCTCTACCCAAGGTTGGTAATGGTTCGAGACTAAGGATTTGAGATCGCACCGTTTTATATGTTTCATCAAGCCCCATAAGGAAGTCATCAACCTTTTCTTCTTCAAGAATATTCTCCAGCTGCTTCTTCGCTCTGTAAGAACAAACGCCACAAGAACAGACCGGCAACGGAGGAAGGTTCTGTAATTCGTTCCAAACGGACTTCAGTTTGCCATAGTAGGTTGCTGTGGAGGCCTTCTCCTGCTGCAGCAAGGCGATGGTACGCTTCAGATCATAGACGCGAGAGGCGATGCCTTGCGTGAATCATTCTTGAAAATCCTGCCAGATCTCCAAAGCAGTATGGGTGTTAGCAGCACCAGGTTTGAGTTCCTTGCAGACCGCGTTGGTGATCCAAGCTTTGAGCAAGGCATGGCATTGAACCCAACTTTGGAAATCATCGATGTTAACAGCGGGTTTGGAGATCGTACCATCCAAAAATCCGGCTTTATTTTTGGATTCAAAAGCCGTTAAAAGACTATTCCACCAAGTAAAGTAATTGTCGCCGGTTTTGACTAACGGATCGGTGACAAATAACAAGCCAGGATGATCAGAGGGATGGATGTAATACGGGGATTTCATATCAACAATGGGTTGAGTGATGACAGATGATGGTGGAGGAGGAAGATCGCCGGAATTGGAAGAAGTTTCAACCATGGCGGCGGAGGAGAAAATAGAGCCGGAGAAGGAAGGAAAAAAATGGTGGGTGACGGCTCAAAAAAAAAAAAAAATTAGGGTTTGCTCTGTACCATGTAAAACGATATGGTAGAATATGTTTTCATATTAGGAAAATGATACAAGAGATGGTCATATATAGACCGATATAAGAACGTGATCAATATGGAAAAGATTAAACCCTATCCCTATCTCTATAAAGTAGGAAGATATCTCAATAAGATTTATTGCAAAGTCAGTTATTCGGGAAAAATGATTGGCCCACTGAACTAGATGACCTTCGGATGAAAATTGTTGAAATGTGCAATGGATTGCCTCTAACAATCATCCTTGTGGCAGGAATTTTAAGATCCATGGAACCAAATGATTGGAAGAGGGTCATAGATAGTGTAAACCGTGGCAGTTAGTAGAACGTTGCAACGATACACTTGAGCTCAGCTACAGACATCTACCTGAGCATTTGAAGCCATGTCTATTGTATTTTGCGACGTTTCGAGAAGATCAACAGGTCTTGGTCAAGAGTTTGCTTGCATTATGGATGGTTGAAGGGTTCATCCGGAAAGTGGAGACGAAGCGCCTGTCAGATGTTGCTGGAGAGTATCTGAATGATCTGATAGGAAGAAGTTTACTAATGGTTTCCAAAGTAACATCCACGGGCCGAGTGAAAAGGTGCCGAGTCCATGACTTGCTGCATGAATTCTGCTCACAAAAGACGAAAGAGGAACAGTTTTTCCATTTCCTGGAACGAGGCTACGATGAATTGTCAGGATTCAACGAGCCACCGTATCTACGGAGGTTATGCGTTCGCTCTAGTGCAGAGGACTTCATTGAGTCAAATGTGTTTTGTCCTCGTGTACGTTCTCTGCGCTTCAAATACTCGCAACATCATGTCTCGCAAAGTTTCACATTAATGATGCACATCTGCAAACGGCTCAGAGTATTGGATTTGGAGCAAATTCATTTACATGATGGAATTCCTTGCGAGATAGGAGAGCTTGTTGGGTTTGCTTACCTTGCCATTGGAGGTTCTGTGAGGGAAATTCCGCAATCTACAGGTAAACTCTCTAATTTGAAAACTTTTATAACAATTGGAGATCTTGCTGAAAACTTTTAAAAAATAAAATACTAAACGAAAACAAAAGTTTGACCGTTAAGTCTTAAAAAATTTTGTTAAATTAACTGAAATTGATGACAAAAATATTTTAGGGGACTACTTTTGCTAATGAAAAATTCATAGTGATTCGATCTTGCTACCCCCAAAAGCTGGGGGACGAAAACTGTGTTTCGTCCTTAACAAAAAATTAAATACTTAACGGAGACAAAAGTTTGACCGTTAAGCCTTTAAAAGTTCTGTTAAATTGACTGAAATTGATGATAAAAATATTTTAAGGGACTATTTTTGCTTATTAAAAATTCATGGTGACTCGATCTTGCTACCCCCAAAAGTTGGAGGACGAAAAATGCATTTTGTCCAAAATAGATTATTATGAATTGTTTGTCTTTTAATAAGTTTCTGTTTCTATATTTCACTTACTAACTTTAGGCGGGAAAATCTTCCTACCACGTGACTTAAATAACAGCTGCTTTCAAAAAGTAAAATTAGGTGATAAATCTATGTATCTTAATCTTGATTTATTGGATGTGGTTTCAATTTACTTTGTGATAAGATATGTACTTCAGAACTTTTAATGGTTTATTAAAACAGTAATTACAAACTTTCTTCTTTCCTCCTAATGCGGATCATCTCCAAGAAACCAGGATGATGCAAATTCAGAATTTAATTACTCTATCATGTTCTTGATTGGACTGGCATTTCCAAGCTTCCAAGTAAGCATTTTTTTTTTTCTGTAAGACATTACTCTTGCCACGCTTTGATTCCATTATTTTTATTAAACAAATGATGGCGACGAGTTTAATTAATAACAACGACCTAGTATATATGACTTCATGGTGATACACTACACACCAGAGAATATCTACTATTTTTATTTGAGTTCGTGTTCTCTTATGCCGTTTAATATTCTACTTTCATTACTTTGTTTAATCATATCAAAGAAACTATGAAAGTGAAGCAATGAGAAAACAGCTAATTAACTCTGTAGTTTTCAGTTAATTTGCCAAATTTATACCTTCGTCGCGTGATTGGAAAATTCAAATATCATCCTATATATGTTGACTCATTTGTTGAAATTACCAATGTTTTGTTTTCTTTTTTTGTTTTCCCAGTTATTATGGTTTGTTTTCTTTCTGAAGTTTCCTTTGGCCAATAGAATAACACTTTATTTTGTTCAAGAAATATGTATACATAAAGTCTGTTAAAGATAACCATCAATAGTAGTTGAGAGAGGATCACTTTTATAATTTTATTGAAGAATTATCTAGAGTGATAGATTTAATTTAGTCATTATTAAGAGTAGTTTAATTTAGTAATTATCAAGACTAGTTTTATCAAATAATGTAGACATGCCTATAAATATGACATCTGCATTTATTTTGTAACTCAATCAATCACAATGTAGTTTTCTATTATTTTCCTTTTTTTATTTATTTTCTTCAAATTTTATTTTTCTTCATGTTATCAGAGCCAACCCGCCGACATTCGGACTCCAAAAAGCCTAACAAAAAAATAGGGCTGAGACATGAGGCGGTGTCTGGGCTAAAAAAATAGGGCAATCCCACATCGGTGTTGAGAGATTCTGAGTATCAATATATAAACTCCACGAGCTATTCCCTCATTGCCAATTGGTATCAGAGCAGGTTTCGCCCTGCTCATGTGCCATGTTTCCGCTTTTTTTCTGTCAACAAATAAATCATGATTAGTTCAGTAATGAATATTAGCAATTGTGTATGTTTTAAATCCAAATTCATCCCAAATCACTCCTCTTTCAACAAATAAATCATGATTAGTTCAGTCATGAATATTAGCAATTGTGTATGTTTCAAATCTAAATTCATCCCAAATCACTCCTCTTCTACTGCTAATCCCAAACTCCTGTTTGATTCTCCCAATAATGTCCACAATACCTATAAATTTCTCACAAATCAATCTCATCGAACAACAAATCTTTTTTTCTTTTTTTTCCACAAATCAACTTTAGTTGATCCATAAATTTCAAATAATGAGGAAAGTCACCTCTGAGTCAATTCACAAAATTTTCATTGTGACAAAAGTCTGATCTTTCCTCAAAAGAAGAGTTTTGACTTGTCATATAACAATCTAACAATCCCAAAAATTTTCATTATGGCAAACGTCTAATTTTCTCATAGAAGAAGAGTTTTGACTTGTCATGCCGTAATCTAACAATCCACAAAAATTCTCCATTATGGCAAAAGTCCGATCTTCTCTCAAAAGAAGATTTTTGACTTGTCATACAACAATTTCACAATGAATTTCAAGTAATTTTTTCAAAACATGGTCAGAAGCATTCAAAATCGAGAATTGATACTGGTCCACAAGAAGATTTTTGACTGGTGATTGTTCGTAAAGCTGAGAAACCGTCAGCATAGTAGAAGCAAACTAAGTCTCTAACCCCGATTCAGTTTGAGGGAGGATGTTAAAGATAACGATCAATAGTAGTTGAGGGAGGATCACTTTGGTAATGATTTTATTGAAGAATTATCTAGAGTGATAGATTTAATTTAGTCATTATTAAGAGTAGTTTAATTTAGTAATTATCAAGAGTAGTTGTATCAAATAATGTAGACATGCCTATAAATATGACATGTGCCTTTATTTTGTAACTCAATCAATCACAATGTAGTTTTCTATTATTTTCCTTTCTTTTATTTATTTTCTTCAAATTTTATTTTTCTTCTAAGTCCAAGCATCAATTAATTTGAGGTAATTGTGATAGGTCCTTCATAATTTCCCCAATTTGGAAGAGATGCCTTCTTGTTTTGGAAACATTCAAACGCTTCAGCTGATCGAGGTCACTCCGACTGTGACAGATTTGGTGAAGAAGATTGAAGAAGTGCAGACAGATTCTGGAAATTCCGACCTGAAAATCATCATTTTTATGGAGCATTCTTGTGGAGATAATAAAGTTGTATTGAAAGGCTTGTAAATTTAAAAGCAAGTGCCTGAATTTTTTTCTTCATCTATTCATTTCCGTTGGATTTTTCCGGTATTGTACTTAATTAGGTTATCTTGTTAATTTGCTTTCCTGAAAGTTGTTGGAGAATGTTTCCATTATACAGCAAAATGAATGCCTAAAATTTGTGGGAAGAGCAAAAGAAATACCCCATTATCCTAAATTAAATAATTATTTTAGGACGGAAGGAATATTATATTATACACCTCTCTGTTTGAACTTTGAGGTGGCTCAGAAGCTCGTGACTTTTTCAATTTTATTTTCAAATTATGATTTATCGGACATGTTCATAATTGGGACCTCAGCAAATTCGTTTTCATATATGATTTTCAGCTGCACATACATTAAAAGAGAATTTTGAATAAGTTTGAAATAACCATGGGCGCAGAAGAAATCAAAAAAGGACTGAATTCAAAGCTGAATAAGAGATGCAAATGAGCTAGCATAGCTCAGCTCTTTCCCCAACCTGGTGTACGTTCTAATTATAGTCAAAATAAGGATTTAAAAGATCTCCAAGAAATACAAAAAGAGATCGCATTGTGATGTGGAAAGTCGGGCGACATTAGAACTTACAGGGTTATATTACACGTTCTTGGCCCCAATAGCATCAACAAACAAAGCTAGTGAGTCATTCAAAATAGGAGAGGAGAAATGTATTAATTTAGGAAAGGGTAGTCACCATTCTGGGAGTCGGCTGGTCCATTCAAAGTAGTTAGCAACCATAATCCAAACCAAGAAGAGAAAAGGAAATAACTGGAGCCGGTGTGTAAAATTCCCTTCCCCCCCCCCCCCCCAAAAAAAAGGAGGGGGGTTGGTGGTTTCCTTCTTGACCTTAACCTCGTTTTGAAGCCTCGACGAGAAATACTTCAGATTTACAAGGACGAGTTTCCCGTTCCAAAACCATTAGCTCACAACCCGAATAGGTCCACAAGTCAGTACTGTGAATACCACAAAGACCACGGGCATGATACAGAAGATTACAGAGAACTCAAGCGGGAAATTGAAGCCGGGGTCAAATCTGGAAAGTTTCAGCAGTATGTACAAAACACATAGCTTACTCTTTGAGAAAAGGGAGGAAAGTTCGCGGCACCCCGTAATTTCCCTAGACGGAACAATAACCACGGCCCTCGAGGAGATAATAGAGGAAACAACGGAATAACTCGCAGCAACCTGCCCAACAATCCCTGGACAGAGGGCCACAGCCAATTCAGCAAGTTCCTCCTCTTGATCCAACCAAACAGATCACTCACGACGTAGGAGCTATCTACGGCGGGTCCCTTGAGGTCTTGTCCACAACAGCAATGAAAACATGACTTCGAGAAGTAACTAAGACACCGCCTCAAGAACCAAGTCACAAACGGTTCAAGGGGACAGAGGCAATAGTCTTTACGGCAGTGATGTTGTCCCGGGTATCTGTCCACACAGTGATGCAATGGTTATCGAGGCCATCATAGGAAACTTCAAAGTAAGTCGAGTATATGTTGATAACGGAAGCACGGTGGATATAATATACAGTGAGTGTTTCAAGAAGATGAACGTAAAAAATCCAGATTGGCGTCCCGCAACATTACAGCTAATGGGCTTTTCAGGGCACACGATAATCCCTAGTGGGATTGTCAGGCTTCCTATTACGGTAGGGTCACATCCTCGAATGGTAACTGTAACAATAGATTTCGCCATAATCAATGCACCCTCGCCATTTAATGTGATTCTAGGACAGCCTTGGATGTGTCAGGCCCACGCTGTTTGGTCTCCCTACCACTTGGTCATGAAGTTTTCAACAGAGTAAGGGGGAGGAATTGTGCAAGGAAGCCAGCGCAGTTCTCGAGAATGCTTACTCACAGTGGTGAAAATCGGGAAGAAAACAGTAAAGCCAGAGCTGGCTGTCACCATGTCGGGGTGTTTTTCTGTTCAACAAGGAGTATTACCAATTGAATGTAAAGGGGAGAGCAGGACATGGATCTCGACCATCCCCAGCAGCCACCAATGAACAGCAAGACAGAAGAGTTGATCCTGAACGAGAAAGAGGCAGAAAAGACAATCAATCTTGGAATATCCGTAAACAAAATATTGTGAGTCGAGGTAATCGTCTTACTACGCAAATTTCGAGATATCTTCGATTGGTCGGCATATGATATGACCGGAGTTCCTCGAGAAGTCATCGAGCATAGGTTGAATGTCGACCCCAATGTCAAACTGGTCAAACAGAAAAAGAGAATTTTTGCCCGCAATCGCAATGACGTCATTAATGAGGAAACGCTCAAATTGGTCCGCGCCAACATACTCCGAGAAGTCCTATGGCCAACGTGGCTGGCCAACCCAGTCCTTCTTCGGAAACTGGATAATTCTTGGCACATGTGTCAGGATTATAGGGACCTTAACAAATATTGCCCTAAAGATTGTTACCTTTGCCCGTCATTGATCAGATGGTCGAGGGGATAACCGGCTTTAGAACACTTAGCTTCCTCGATGCGTATAAAGGATACCACTAGATTCTTATGGCTCGAGAAGATGCAGAGAAAACAGCTTACATTAAAGAAATTAGAGTGTACTGCTACAATAAAATGCCTTTTGGCTTAAAAAATGCTGGAGCCACCTATCAACGTCTCGTCAACAGAGCTTTCCACGATCAAATCGGGCGAAACATCGAAATTTATGTGGATGACATGGTCATAAAGAGCAACCTCGACAACAAAGTAGTCGAGGACATGAGGGAGATTTTCACAATTCTTCGGACAATTAACATGAAGTTGAACCCGAAGAAGTGCACTTTTTACGTTGGCTCCGGAAAGTTCCTGGGCTTTCAAGTATCAAAAGACAGAATAAGCGTTGATCCCGCAAAAGTCGAAGCAATTTTGTCCATGGAAGCCCCAAAAACAGTCAAAGAAGTTCAAAACTTACGGGATCCCTGGCGGCATTAAACAGGTTCCTATCTCGAGCAGCAGAGAGGAGCCTCCCCTTTTTTAAGACGTTGCGAAAAGGGAGGAGTTTTGCATGGACTGAAGAGTGTCAGAAAGCCTTCTAGGTCCTGAAAGAGCATCTCAAGCAACTTCTCATGTTAGCTAAACCGGAGCCGGGAAAAACTCTATACGTTTATCTAGCTGCTCGAGAAACTGTTGTATCTGTGGTTCTCATCTAGAAAAAAGACCGCAAAGAAATCTCAGTTTACTTTGTGAGCAAAGTCCTACAGGGGGCAGAATCCCGATACACCCCCATGGAAAAACTTATATTAAGTCTGGTGCTCGCTGCTCGACGGCTTCGTCCGTACTTCCAAACTCACCCGATTCAGGTCTTAACTGAACAACCTATACAACAAGTTCTTCTCAAGCCTGAGGCTTCAGGTAGAATGATGAAATGGGCCGTTGAGCTGGGGGAGCACCATATCGAGTATAAGCCTAGGACGACTATAAAAGGGCAGGCATTTGTGGATTTCCTTGTCGAGACGCCCCGCACTTCAGACACCATGCCGGAACCACTACCAAAATCACCACCGCAGAAACACACTCCTGTAGATCCGCGAGCTTGGACCCTTTACGTCGACGGCTCGTCTTGTGAGGATGGGGGAGGAGCTGGGATTATATTAACCAAACCAGCTGCATCACAGAAAATCGAGGAGATGAAAGAATATGAGACTGAATATTCCTACGCTTTGCGGTTTGGTTTCCCGGTAACCAACAATGTGAAGAGTGCCAAAGGAAGCCTTGATGACAAGTGAGGCATTGATGGAGAAAATCATACACTTTTTTACTACATTAAAAGGCATCCAATCCTTTCCTCGATTCAGATACGAGCAATTGCTTTACTTAATGAAGTAAACAAGGGAAAAACCTCTTAGTGGTATCCTTACTTAAAGCAAATACGAGCAATTGCTTTACTTAAATTATTGTTCTCTTCTTTGATGGTATGTTGACAATTTGTGCGTGTTTCAGGGCCTTCTGCTATAAATTCTTCAACAGGTTTTTGAAATTTGTTTGGCGGTGAGAATAGACTTGCTCATGCAATTTGAATATAGAAGTATCAAGCTTAATTTTATTTTGCCTCAATATTTGTATGTCCTCGTTTTCAAATCTGATAGTTATTGCTTATTATTATATTATTATAAAAAAAAATCCATTTTCTCTGGGATCATACATGAAAATGGTGCATATTCAGGTTCAAAGAACATCAATTTCTACTATTTACAAGTAGAGAGAAAAGTCCTCCTTTCGAATAAGTGCTCCTGTTTTGTAATCAACTTGACCATTTCCGTTCCTTTCTGATGCAGGGCTACAGATTGATAACTTGTCTGGTGGTTTGACCCTGGTGCTTAATGGAGATACTATTGAAGCCAGAGGTAATTCAAATAGTAACTGAGACATTCACTGAGACTCAAAAGATTGGTACATTATTTGTCTGCTTACCTTTAATCCATGTCTTCATGTAGTTCCTCTAAATCACCTTTTTTTTTGGCTCCGACTAGCCTTTTGCCTGTTTTGATCGGTATGTTATTAACCAGTTAGTTGGTTAATAGAATTCTCTCATGATGGCACTATTTTAAACTAGGATACTTATGTCATTTAAATCGCAAATTTAACTTTTCTAGATCTTTTAAGCTAATGCCTGTGCGGTGATGCTGTTTTGCATCTATTAAAAAGGGAAAGACTAAAAAGCTGCACAGATTTTCGCGATGACAGAGAGAACGGCCAACTCTCTTCCACGTTGGCTGCCGCCCTTCTTCAGTTCATTGAGATACAAGCTTCGCAAGTGAATGATGCTGGGCTGCTGGAAAGGCAAAATGGAAGTGGAAAGACGCTAGCGCAGTTATGGATGAACTTAACTTGAAGCCTTTCATTTATCTTGTTACTTTTTCTTATGATCGAGTTGAGAGAGTACTGAAAAAGTTTCCAAATCTTCGTGCCTTGAAATTTCAACTTTGCGGATTAGATAATCATGATGGAGATCCTGTTGTCCAGGCTGTTATGGTTCATGACATTTTGACTCAACTAGAGTCACTTTTTTTCTACCAACATGTAAATCTTAAGCCTGAGGTTGAGTTTTGTTTGCCAGCAAAACTGAAGAAACTGACATTGGGATCATTTAAATTGACTGCAAGGATTCTTTCAGGCATTAGAAAACTCCCAAACCTCGAGTATCTCAATTTAAAAGGTACAGAATCCGACGGGTACACATGGAGGATGGAAGAAGAAGAAGAAGAGCAATTCTCCAAACTTAGAATCTTGAAGTTGGAATCCCAGTCCCTTCGCTTTTGGAGTGATTCTGATGATGATCAATTTGGTTCTCTTGAGAAATTGGTTCTTTCGGGTTGCTCCGATTTGGAAGAGATGCCTTGTTGTTTGGAAAACAATACGACGCTTCAAATGATCAAGACCACTGGTTGTCGTTCAACTGTGACAGATTTGGTGAAGAAGATTGAAGAAGTGCAGACAGACAATGGAAATTCCAATCTGAAAATCATCATATCTAAGGAGAGTTCTTGAAATTTGGAGAAGTGTCAGAATTTGGGTCTTCATCTATTCATTTCCATTGGAATTTTAGAATTGTACTATCTCCGTCTCAAAAAAATAGTCCACATTGAGTTTACAAATTTGTACTAAAAATAATACAAAACTCAAGACTCAATGTGGACTATTTTTGTAAGACAGAGGGAGTACGATAGTTAGCTTGTTAATTTGTTTTTCTGAAAGTTCTTGGCAGAATGTTTCCATTGCAGCAGAAATGAATGCCTAAAATTTCTGCGAAAAGCAAAATAAGTACAATTACATTGTAGACCTCTCTGTTTGAAGTGTGCCTGTCTATGATGACATTACAGAGTACTCATGTAGGTTCATAGGCAGCAAGCTAACTCATCAAATTCATTTCATGTTTAAGCTCCAACAGGTACATATACATTCCAGATAAACAAAAAAGGTCAAAATAAAATCGGCTTACCCCCAAAAAAGTTACATAACCTTGCTTAAATATTCCATATACACAGTGTATTTCAAAATGAGAGAATGATCATCATTTCACTGACGTTGTCATACGAACTACTGATTCATCCTATACACGTGAGAACTGATAGAATTATAGCATAGGCGAAATTAAAAAGAATTCTCAAGGAAATCCACTACCGAGTCCATCCACAAACAACCAAAGATCCACAAAACGGTTATGACAGACCCACTTGTCTTGGCCTTCAAGCGTCGAAAATGGAAAAATTAGAGAGAGGAGAACTGAAATGTGATTTGACCATGATCTGCAATTCTGCATGCTTCTTTAGGAATTAATCCACCCACACAAATGATACTAATACTATTATATTAAGAGATAGTTTCTAAATACTGTTAAATAAGACACTATGTAACTTAGAAACGAATTATATATTTATTATGATAAAATAATAATTGAAAAACAAATGTAAATACACTCGTAAAATCATAAAAATGAATTGACAATTTGAATCGTTGTCAGAAATTTTTTTCCCCTTTAGTTTTGGGAGTTCTTTTGGATTCGAATTAGAAACTAATTTGTGAATAATCACATTGGTTGACTTACTTGAAGGAATCCAAATTCATAATAGCATTGAAGATTGTGTTGCAGTTTCAGATTTGGAGCATGAATTTAGGGACTAAAAATGGATTATTATGAATTGTTTGTCTTTTAATAAGTTTCTGTTTCTATATTTTACCTACTCACTTATAGGTGGAAAAATCTTCCTGCCACGTGACTTAAATAGCAGCTGCTTTCAAAAATTAAAAATAGGTTATAAATCTATGTTTTTTAATCTTAATTTATTGGATGTGGTTTCAATTTACTTTGTGATAAGATATGTCCTTCACGGCTTTAAATGATTCATATAGCAGCTGCTTTCAAAAAATAAAAATATGTGATAAATCTATGTTTCTTAATCTTGATTTATTGGATGTGGTTTCAATTTACTTTGTGATAAGATATATCCTTCAGGACTTTTAATGATTTATTAAAACAGTAATTACAAACTTTCTTCTTTCCTCCTATTGCGGATCATCTCCAAGAAACCAAGATGATGCAAAATAGGGCCGGTCATTTTGACCCACCGTTAGGGTCGAACCGATGATCTGAACTGAACTGATCCGAAAATTTAGTTTCAGTTACGTTCGGTTCGGATCAATTATTTGAAAGTGTGGAATGGTTCGGATCGGTTCGGGTTAAGTAAATATTCAAATTAAACCGAATTAATTTAAACCAAAAATAATAATAATAAATTTCAATAGTTTCTAACGTTGACTACCACGGACCGCCGTTGACCGCCACTAACCGCCACCGCCAACAACTTCCGGTCAAAAATTCCGGCGACATCGCCGGCAAATTGATTTTTCCAGTCAAAAATTCTGGCGATATTGCCGAAAAATCGATTTTTCCGGGGACCAATGACCGGCGCGTGCAAAATGACGACATCGTAATATTTTGATGATATCATCAATTACCTTAAATTAATTACTTATTTAAATGGGAAGCTTTCCCAAACCAAATCCAACTTCTCCTTTTTAGCCGAATTAATCGCGAATAGAATTAGTCTCAAATCAAATTACTTAATTATAGGAAATGTCTCATAATTAACTATATTAGCCGGTAATCCTATTTGCACATTATATTCCTTTCGAATGTGTGTTATTGCCTTATCGATCGACAACCAGGACTGAACCTGTGACTGCGGCAATATTTCCTCACAATATGCTGGCAATAACTCTTGGTTATACTCTGATTGTTACAGTACCTATAAATCATGTACCTACAACGCAGCCTGCTAAAATTGTTCATATGGATATGATAAAACATGCAGATCCTATACATGTGGCACATATTGCTGAAACTGCGTGTGTGGCCTGCGGATACTGTGTCAACTGCAACGCTTGTTGATACTATACCGGCAAAACCTTTTGATGTTGTGCCAACAGTTGCACTTGTTGATACTATACGAGCCACACTTGTTATTCTTGTGTCAGCGACTCTACTTGCTAATACTGATCCGGTAACACCGGCTACTACTATGTCGATGCCTGTACTTGTTGATATGTTCATGCTGCATTCTCTGTCAGAACTGGATCTGCTGCACTTATTGTTGGAACTGTGCCTACTGGAACACTTTCTGGTACTCTTCTATAGCAATACATGTGACACTGCCTGCTGATACTGTGTCAGTGGTTAAACTTGGTGATATTGTGCCGGCAACACTAGCTGATGTTGTGCAGGCGACGGCTGTACCATGTTGTGACCATCAATCGGCATGCTGTGACAATCATATATATGAGGTTACTTGACTACCAATAGCTGCCAGCCCCCTGAGACTTGAGGGATCTTCCTCCGTAGAGATATCACATCATTTGGCAGCACCATTAAATTGCCGATTAGAGGTATCTGACCATCCACTAGTACTATCGACCATTGAAGAAGCATAATCAGGACGTGAAAACATGGACTCGTGAGAGATTTGCCCAACTAGTGATGGACTATATATACATACATATATACATACATACATACATACAGGGAGCAGCTAGTGTCCTGTTACGAGACAGTTCCGTTTTAGGATAATAATCGTAGGGTTAATTAGGCTAACTAACAACCGTAGAATTGAAATGAGGGTGTATCATAAGTAAATACACATAAATCCACCTGATTAATGAAAAAAATTGAAAAAATGGTCGATTTAATCCTAAACTTTGGCCCTCTGGTCAATTTCATCCCAAAATATTTTAAAGTTGTCAATTTCAAACCAATGTTTAGCGCTCTAGCCAATTTCATCCTTCCGGTTACAAATTAATATTTTTCAGCATAAAAATGGCCACTTTAGTCTTAAAGTTTGACCCTCTAGTCGAATTTATTCCAGAGTATTTTAAGGTAGCCACTTTCATCTTAACGGTTAACACTTTGGCTAATTTTATCCTTCCGATCACAAATTAGTATTATCCGACAATTGACTAAGTCAACCGGCCTATTTTTTATTTTTTATTATTATTTTCAAACTTCAAGACTAAAACGAGCAGTTAATTAAAATGATTAATAAACTATTTTTTTTTTTTTGAAAAAAAGTCAAAAAATTGCATTTTGTTTCTTTATTCCCTTTCTTTTTCTATTTTTCTTGGATCACTATATCTATTTAAACATGTCATTGACTGAACTTTTAAATAATATGTATGCCTCTGTTCCGACTGAACTTTAGGGTCAAACTTTAGGATTAATCGACCAGAGGCAGATATTGCTTAAAAATTCAATCAATGAAATGTTTAAACATATGGAGTGATACAAAAAATATGAAAAGAAAGGAATAACAAAATAAAATGCAGTTTAGGTTATTTATTTGAAGATTCAATACGTGATCCCCAAAGAAAAGAATATACATTTTTCGTATTTTTTCATCAATAATTAAACAAATTAATGATGTTATGTAATTTTTTGCCATTTACAAAAAAAAATAGTTTACTAATCATCTTAATTAACTGGTCGTTTAAGTCTTGAAGTTTGAAAATAATATAATAAAAGGCCGGTTGACTAAGTCAATTGCCGGAAAATACTAATTTGTTATTGGAAGGTTGAAATTGGTCAGATTGTTAAATATTGGGATGAAATTGACTACCTTAAAATACTTTTGGATAAAATTGACCAGAGAACCAAACTTTATGATCAGCCATTTTTTCCAAAAGAAAATTGGATGCCGGCTGAACAGGTTTTTTACTAGAGACGGTAGATTAATGACGATGGTAGAAAATTTAAAAGGATAAAAGCAAAAAATATTCGTTGATTTCCCGGCCATATGATGCCCGGTGACTCTTTCCCAATTTGAAACCGAATTTTGTTACATAAAAAAAAAGTTGGAAATTTTGGAAAATGAATCTATTCGTGGCAAACACTGTGTTCAAATAGACTTATGGAATTTGATTTTTTTTTTTGCAGTGATGCCGAACTCATCAACTTGATATAAAAAAAAAATACACAGATTTAAAATCCAACAATTGTGGCAGACAAGTTTTCTGAGAAATAAGTATATTGATCCTCTTTTATAAATTTTTATCAGGTAATAATTTACACAATTTTTACTCTGTTAAACAACCTGATTAGCAGGTTATAATATTAATTTTTTCTAAAAGAAAAATTAGTTTGGAATATTTTAGAATGATATTTCACCCGATAATTACATCTTATATCCTCAATATTAATTGGTTGAAGAAAAAATGGGACGGTTCCGTAAAAATGGCCAATGGGACTCTAGAATTTTCATATCTTACTATATTAGAAACAAAAACCACACTTAAGAGAAAGCACCATCATTTGCCATGTGGCATTTCCACATCATATTTTTAAAATAAATTTTTATTATCACATCTCCTAAATTTAAAAGGCAAATGCAGTCTAAATTCATTTTCACCTCCTATTTTCGTCAAAACAAACAAAAAAAAAAAGAAAAACCACGGGTTCATAAAAAACCCAAATCCTCATCCCCATCTCCACGACAATCGAC